ACTGGACCTCCTTGGTGGTCTCCTATCTAAGTACTAACCAAGGCTAACACTACTTAGCTATGGAGATCTAATCTGATCAGGATAGGCTGGGCCATCCAAGTCAAGACACCTAGTGAATACCACCCCATGAAGCCTATGTTAAAGGGGCAGGACACTCTTCTCTGGGCCTCCTGGCAATAAGTATTATTCAGATCTCAGTGTATACTTACACACACACTGGCAGGAAATGCCCATGTATATTAAGACCATGCTGGAGGAAAACATTCATATGTTTTTGTGCCTCAGGAAAGCAACTTTGACCTAGGTAAACATACAAGCTAGGCCACAGAGTTACGATCAACTGAAGATGTTGCCCAGAAGACCTGGTTCTTCCAAGTCTGCAGCATAATCATGCTGTACTGCATAAAGCGCATCTCTTTACTGATTCATAGCTTGCCTGCATTCTTAATAGGACAACAAAGTGGGTTGTGTCAGCTGATTTAGAAGAGTCCTGCTAATGTGTACTTGTGTCAAATATAATCTTGTTTTGCACTTTGAAAGGAGAATCCAGCACATGCTTATTTGCCTGTTTATGGGTCTGTTTTGTTTGCTTTTCAATTTCTTCAGCTTTCATACGTGGATGCTGAAGGCAATTCCATTAATATGGTCCAAATGACATTCCTTAAACTACTGAGTGCCTCCGCCCGACAGAACTTCACTTACAACTGTCATCAGTCAGTGGCCTGGCATGAAGCTTCTTCTGACAGCTACGACAAAGCACTAAGGTTCTTAGGCTCAAACGATGAAGAGATGTCTTATGACAACAATCCTTACATCAAAGCCCTACATGATGGCTGTGCAGTAAGTATAAACCCAGGACGCTCCTTTCTGTTTTGAGACGGCAGCTTATCTTAATAAGCAAATGAGTTCAGCTTAATGCCATTCTTATAAAAGTTTCCAAAGGTCCTTTTCTTTCTCCTTTACATATCTTTTCATTTTTTGCAGTTTTTTTTCTTTTTACCTATGCAGTATCTGCTCCCTCTTAAAAAGAAACTTTTAAACTTCAGAAGAGGGGAAATGTTCACTATTATTTAAGGCAGAGCAAAGACAGAAAACAGCAGACGATGCCAGTATGCTGTTATAAATGCACTGACAGGGGCAGCCATTGGAGGAACAGTACTGAGATGTGAGATCGTAATTGGAAAGCATTTGTACTCTCCAATCTTCTGTACAAGATGAATAACAATAATACTGCAAATGGAAGCCCCCCCCTCCTCATCCCAGTTTTAATATAATTTCTCTCTAAAACAGAAGATGGAAGTGAAGTCGGTGCCAAAGCTCTTAAAAATATCTTGTATCTCTTCTTCATATCTGACAAGCTGCTGCTGAAGTGGCAGTGCAGTCTGATATGGATTGAATGGTATTAGAATTAAAGCATATGTGAGATGTTCACTAGTACTGAATCACTGCTCGTCTAGCCTTAAAGAATCCCCCAGAGTGTTTGCATACTCCTGGTCAGTATGCATTGTATGTGCTCCTTGACATCTTTATGGTACCCTGCTGGCAAATATACCATTGGAGAAATGTTTCCTTTGATTTGTATCCCTGCTTTCCATCCAGCCTGCCACAGCAGCCCACTAGGTCCACCCCTCACTTTTGTGCCCCACGTCTTTACTCCCTCTCCCCATTCTCAAATGCTGCTTCAGTCTGATTTTTCATTTGGTAGCTTTGACAGTTGGTGAGAGTTCTAGCCAAACACAAGCTCTGGGTGCGGAGACAGCAAAACATACTCTTGCCTTCTCCCCCTCAAAACTACATCAGAGTTGGAGTAGAGATCATACATTTTGGCACATTGCTTCCCATCAAAAATAACTTTGGCACATTGCTCTCACTCACTCATCCAGTGCAGCTCAGAAGAGCGCAAGAAGAGCCCTTGTAGTCGAAATCAAAGGTCCATTTAAAGGCTGACCAAATGACTCCAAAGAAGCCTACAAGTGGAGCTTTGAAAGATGTTTCCCTAAAACATCTGGTATTCACCGACATACTACCTTTGAGCACAGAGATTATGTTTAGCCACCATGGGTAGTAGCCATTGATAAAGTTATATTCCTTGAATGTGTCTGTTTTGAAGCCATATAAGTTTGGGGTACCACTATATTTTGTGACGATAAATATAAGCTCAGAGTGTGACAATAGAGGGAGATGTTATTTTTCCCCCAGGACTAGACCCAATTGAAGTTAATTTAACTGAATGCAAACTCCATAAGAAGTGGCACAGACAATAGTTTTCCTCTCAGCTTATTTCTCAGCTTATTGAGTGAGGCCTCAAAGAAGCTTCTGAGTTCCCAGTTGCTGCTGTAGCACCTCACAAGATGGCAGCAGCCTACATTCTTGGTGCTGGTTCTTGCCAAGGATCATTTTCTGACTCTTTGGCTGCAATTCCCCACCTGTTTAACTCCAGATAATCTAAGGAGGAACTGCTAATATTTGTTACATTTACTAATTCCTTACTTACATTTTGCTGTGTGTGTGTGTTTTCTTTTTGCAGTCAAGAAAAGGCTATGCAAAGACTGTTGTTGAAATTAATACTCCCAAAATTGACCAAGTGCCTGTTGTTGATGTGATGATTAATGACTTTGGTGATCAGAATCAGAAGTTTGGGTTTGAAGTTGGTCCAGTCTGTTTCCTTGGTTAAGCTGAGAGCAAAGAGAAGATGATTGACAAAAGATGATCAGCAAGTAACGATGCACCTTGGTGCCACCATCAACCTACTTGATGCCACATGCAAGTTTTGAATAAGGATGGTGTAGAAAATGTGTCTCACCGTGTAACATGTCTTCTCTAGAAAACACTCACTGTCCCCATAGGATGAGAATCACATGACTTAAACTTATTTGGACCAATTGTGAAGGATGCTGTGGCAGAGGCAGGCAACATAGGGCTAACTTTATGAACAGCCTCCACCATCCCATCCCAACCCACCTCCCCCCACCCTTGAATATTTTGGTGCTGTAAAATTGAATGTCATGGTGCTCCTTCTATTATAACATAAGAGGTGCTAAGAAGGTGTGTTTAATAAACTGTAATTATTCTGTGTACAGTATGATGCTGTCCTTTCTGTGTCCATTTCCAAAACTTGCATGTGACCCTGAATTGCAACTGGCTCCTATCTTATAATAATTTCAAATGGTGTTGTCAATACTGTGTATGTATTATGAAAAATAAAGCTGTAATTTCCAGTGAATCAATTCCATATTTTCCTGATTAATAATATTAATAATTATAATAATAATAAAAATCCATCTGTAGATATTGATGTTCAAGAGCTCTGTTATTTGAAGTCACCAGCAAAACCTCAGATGGCAAAACTGGAAACATTTTCTGCTGTTGCTTTTTTGTGCTAAGCAGTTACAACACGGAAAGTGCCTTTTGTGGCGCTCTTCCATGATATGATACCTCATACTTTTTTAAGTTTCCATTTCTGTTGCCAGGATATTTCAGATTTTAAAAAGTGCGTGTGTGTGTATGTACACACATATACACACACTTAAAATAATCCTGCTTTGTTTGGGGTTGAGAAACGTGTGGTTCAAGCAAAAATATAAGAGATATGACTAAAGACCACTTTTGACATTGCCTTTGGAGTCTGGGTTCTGCTTCAGAGTGAGCTCCTTTCGTACCATTCCAGTAATATCCAAAGACTCAATGGACAAGGAAATAAAGGAGAAGTCTATACCACACCTCTTTCCTATACCATTGTAGCTCCTCACCAAAACTGGGATGCCATTGGTATAAAGAGGAGTCATGGCATGAGTTCTTCTTCCCCTGAATGTCTGGGTACCACAACGTTATTGAAGCAACATGATTTTTTTTATCATGCCCTGATGGCAATGGCAAAAAGGGCCTTTAAGCATTAATCAGATAGTCTTTTCTCTTTTGTATCTCATTTTGTAATCGTTGTATTTCACTGAACCACATACAGATTAAAATTGAATTCTAAACAATTATTTATGTGCCACATAAGTTATCTTATTGCCTTCCTTGAACTAGAGGTCATTATATACAACAAATCCTTTGATCTACCCATTCTATGACAATATGACTTTCCCTTTTTCTCCTTCCAAATTGTGGTTTCAAGCTGAAGTCTAAAATAACTCATTAAGACCAGGCCAGCCCTAATTGACAAACGTTTGACCACAAGAGCGGCTATATCCCTGCTGCTGCACAAAGGAACCTCTGAAGCAGGCATAGAGTTGCCAGCCTTTGGACAGGACCATGCAGGTGTTCCATTACACAGTGCCTTCATATGCAGACAGTAGTGATAATATTTATCTCCATGCATGAAAAGCTTCTCCTGCTTTCTGCAAATCAATGTGCTATTAAACCTACAAGAACAGACCAAGTGGCTTCCCCCCCCCCATCCAGTGATAACCCCAAGCAGGCACCAGGTACAAATCAAATTTGCTGCCTCCTGAATAGGTGTTGAACATGGTCAGATATGATCTGGTGTATGCTGTATATGTGATACAGGAGGAGTCCTGTGAATATGCCCCAGATGTTGGATGTGTATTTGTAGAATCCATTTTCTCCCCCAATGGAACCAATGAATGGAAATCTATTTCATCTCATGAATTGCCCTTGTTGGTGAATACGTCTAGGTCATGTGATTCTACCCAGTTGCCAAACAGCACATGAGGAAACTGCTACCCACAGATCTTATCTTCTGACCCAGATAGTTACAATTTGCATTCCAAATTTTTACAAATGGCTGGTTAGGCCTTGCCTCAAGACATTTTATTTCCAGGTAGGCAGACATAGATATTAACTTAAGAACACAATTCCTTTTGTACTTATTTTTCATAATATATGTGAGACTTGAAAAAGAAATGTTTGTTACTATTTCTTATAAAATTTGTTTAAATTAATTGATATCAGATTCCACTAGCTCATTTTCAGCTGTTTTTTTAAAACCATGCAAACATTTTATATGTAAAACAGATTTTTAAGTCAACAGTTTGCTGTTCAGAATTCCTTTTTTAAAAACCAAAGTTTGTAACTGTCACCTCAAAGAGAAAAAAATATATACATTTTATTAATAAAATCAAGTCTTGTCTACCTGGACTGATCACTCTGTTTCTTAAATATATCAAATAGTATCTCAGCTTTTAGTAATGGAGCTGACATTTATCCATTTAGATTATCCATCACATGGACCAAGAAATACAGATCACAGGTAGGTTTCAATCCAGTTACAGATTGGTTTGGGCTTCTCTTGTTTTACAGAGGAAAAGTCACAATAATATCAAAATCCATTTAAAAACTGGACCCTACAGAAGACAAAAACCCAGAAGCAAATATTCATAGTCAGTATTACAGTCACATCAGTTGTCAGCATATTGTAGAAGCCAAACCAGAGGCAGCCAGCATTTGGGTCATCTCTTTGTTATTAGGAAATTCCACTTTCTATTGCTATAACCAATAGTTGCACTCTAATAATAACAAAGAAATGTACAGAATATATTCCACAGTTTCTCTGCGTACAGTATACTATTGAAGGCTGTCACTGAAATTCAATAAAGTGAGAGTTTTTAGTTCGAACCTGGATAAATGAGTTAAATGATGTTCTAGTCCATAATGAAAACAACTGATGGATTAAAAACAAAAAATTGGCTGGGAAAAGGCTGGTAATTAGGATATTTCAGAGTGCTGGATGGACACAGCATAGCTATTTGCCACATTTTGGAAAATATAAATATTTTTGATTGAAACCTGTAAGTATCAGCAAACATATTGCCTGCCAGGAAAAGGAATGGACAATCGAAAAAGTTCTATAAGCAGAATTGTTATTTTTGTTGAGAAATCCTGGGTTTATTAAATTGTGTGTCCAAAGTAAATTGACTTTGAAAGAGACAGATGGAACTTAATCCTTAACCCTTTTGCAGCAAATGAAATTAGAACTTTTCCCTCTTTTAAAGAAATTGAAAATACATGAGGATGGGCACATACTGGAGCCTCAGAAGTTCAGGAAGCCAGGACAATTTGGTCTGGAAAAACTGATGTTGTTTTGTGTACAACATGTGGGTGATGGGATGTGATGGTGTGTAATGTGTTTATATAATATGTAGAAAATTAATAATAATAAAAAAAGAAAAACTAAACCAAAGGCAAAGATTCTGTGCCCATGTACTTAACCATTTTTAATTACCTCATGCATGTTTCCCATTTGAAACCAAAGTGGGTATCTCTCCTTATATATAATTGAGTAGTGGTCCCACTCCAAAATCAGTTGGCTCCGTGATGTGTCAATCACAAGGTGTCTCTATCCACTGGCTGTGTTGCCTGAGTTCTCTCCCACCCACTGCAGCCTAGGCCACTCTTCTCTGATTGGGCCAGCATTTCAAGGTTATTTGCATATGGAAGCCGACTGGACTTCACTCCATTCCGCACCTCAAACTCCCTCCCCCCCACGAGATAGTTGGAACTGTCAATTGCATATGGGACCTGCTGTATTCTGAGGTAAAATATGTCCTCACTCACAACACATCACATCCCCTTCAAAAGAAACAAACCCAATAGCACAATCATGCCACACCACAAAAAAGACAGATCATACCACAAGCAGAATAGCACAAGGCAAAAAATGATAGGAAAAGGTGTCAGCAGTCACCCCATTACAGCCACAGACATCTGGCAGTCAGCGCTTCAGAGCACGGTGGGGGGGAAATGGAAAGCTGATCAATGAGGGGGGAATGTAGGTTGATGCTTGGCTGTGAAGTAGATAGGGTTGCCAACTCCAGATGGGAAAATCCTGGAGATTTGAGAGATGGAACCTGGAGAGGGTGAGGTTTAAGGAGAAGTGGGGCCTCAGACAGGTATAATGCAATAGACTCTTCCCTCCAAACCAGCCATTCCTTAATGGGGAACCACTGTTGCCAATCTCCAGGTAGGGGCTGGAGATCACTCAGAATTACAATGCTCTCCATATGGCATTGATCCACTCCCCTGGAGAAAATGATGGACTCTGTGTCCTTATACCCTGCTTAGGTTGCCATGGCAAATTGATTCTGAGTGCCCACGGCCTTGGCACTCTCCCAGAGCCTCTTTCTAGCGCTCATTGTATTTATTTCCACAATGGGCCTTATTCCTAGTGTACATATAACTATGTACAGGATTCGCTTTGATTTAGAAGTTCTGTACTACTAAACTTATCACGTGCACGGGGACTACCTTGCTCTTTTTTCTGTTCATGTTATATCTCCCTTAGAATGGAAGCCTCTGTTGCTGTGGGGCTTTGGATTGCACTCACTGCTACAAACATATTTGTACTACTCTGATTTGCATTTATTGCTTTGAAATTGTAAAGTAGGCCCCAACTGAGACCAATATTCTAAGGATTAAACTATGTCCCAATTTGGAGCCTAGTTACAGTTCATTAAATTTAGATAGCGGTGAACACTGAGATGGATTAGAATTAAAAAGCTTTACTAGTTTAAACTACAAAGTACAGAATAAGTCAAATACAGAACACATTAGAAAACTCAAGAGGCTTGAGAGAAGTTCTTTTGTACAACACATAGCTGTAGTGATTACAAATACAAGCATCAAAAAATACTACAACATAAAACAGAAAAAAAATATTTAAGATGTGCTGAAAAAATCTATATTCACTAGTAGGGCGCAATCCAGTTTTTTAAATGAACTGGAGAGAAGCCAATTTCATGGGGGGGAAATCATAGCCCCCCATAAGTCTCATTTTGGCAATCATTCATGGGAGCAGGGGGAGAACCAGAGGCTGGCAGATGTGTTCACACAAACCCCTAACACATACAGGTGGGTTATGTTCCTAAGACCACACACACACCCGGTGCCTTTCCCCAACATAACTGCCTCCAGTACCTCCTTTTTCAAGGGGCAGCAGTGCCAGAACAAAAGGCTTTCCACAATTCCAGTAGTCAGCTACATCGGTGCCACACACACACACACACCCAAATATTATCTTCCTGGAAGCAGTAAATGTGGCTATGTGACTGTGTTATTGAGGGTAAATGACGCTAATTCTAAGGGAAGGCAATTCCCTTACACTGTGTTAGCTTCATTTTCCCTCAGAAACATCTTCACATAGCCAACTTTCATTGGATATATGACAACTTCACTGTTT